ATTTATTTTTTTTTATTTTGACTGGAGAGAGACAGAGACAGAGAGAGAGAAAATGAGAAAGCAAGCCACCAGGTCTAGGACTTAAACCATGGTTGACCTTGTGGAAGTGTCCAGCACCCTAACCACCACAGCAGCTGCTGGTCCCAACAACAAATAATTTTTAAAACTCTAAAAAATAAAAATAGTAAGATGCTGTAATCATTATTATTTAGTCCTCTTTATCAGTCACCACCAAGTCATCAGATCGGGAAAGTTTCCTTGACCTGAATTTTTGATGTCTAAGAAGAGAAATACTGCTCAGAATAGCAGAGGGAGGTTATTCGATTATTCTAAATACATACATTGGGTGGAAAACAAGAGAAACGAAAAGTAGAAGGAAATCAAAGAGGAAGAAGAGACAAAGATTCTGGCAAATGGGGAGGAAACCCAAGAACTAGACACACTGCAGATTATGGCAAATCTGCAGTAGCATCTGAAATGATATATTATGGCAAAGAAGTTAACTCTTGGGCAAAACAGAAAGGAATGTAACAAAATGGAAAGTTATGAAATAGAAAAGAGAGATCTTGAGATCTAGGAGGGAGGGCAGCAAAGGTATCATTTCTCCTATTTTAATTTTCTTATATAGTACTTTTAGAAGAATACTGCAATTTAGGACTTTGAACATACCTTTTTACATAGATATTAGACATGAAACTAGCCAAAATGTCCATGAACAGATGCATGGATTAAAAAAGTGTGGCATTGGGACCAGCAGATGGTGTAATGGTCACTGGACTCCCACAAAGTTGACCGCGGTTCAAATCTCAGACCTAGCGGCCTTAAACTCTCCTGGGCACATGTGTGTGCACACCCAGGATCCTGAGAGGAGAATGGAGAGGGGATTGTGGCATAGCCATCCCCCCTGTGAGATGATCTCTCACTTTCTGTCTCTCTGTCTCTTGGCAAGTGGACTGCCTGGCACTATGGAATACTACTCAGCCATAAAAAGCAATGAGATCCTGGCATTTGCCAGAAAGTGGATGAATATGGTAGACTGCTAAGCGAAGCAAACTAGACTATGAAAGAGAGGCCTTTTATGTCCCAACTTACTATATACTGAATGTCTGTACTCTATGGCAGACTGGAAGGTATAATAGCAGGGAGGACAACTGTGGATACTGGGACAGTGTGGGAGATGGGTGAGAAATAGGTGAGGGTGACAGAGACGGAATCAAGGAGAAAAAGAAAGAAGCAAACATTTAAGGGACACAAAAATGGAAAATTATCTGTTGATGATAATGTGTATGGTAATATCTTTGGACTAATACACAGTAATTGAATGTTAAAAAAATAATAAAAGATATCTTTTTGGGAAAAGAAAAAGTGAAGGGGAAGAATCACAACCAAAACTCATCAAGGGTTGGCTTTCAATGCCCTTCTGTACCCATCAGATGAAGCTGAGACAAGTCAAATTATATTAAGGGTAACTCTATGTTCCATTTTATTATTAAACAAACAAGGGCACACTGCACTGTCAAGGGCTGTCTCCTTTTATCTAAGGAAAATTAAAATTAGAATACAGAGAAAATATCATTAATTTGGTCTTTATGAAAATAAATGTACCCTGAATTAATTGAGCAGAATATATAGAATTGCATAATTTAAAAAGTATGTATTTATTTATATTTTTTGGAGAGGTTTCTTTGCTATAGGGCGCGTGCGCTCGCCAGACAGAGAGAGACATAGAGACAGAAAGCGAGAAATCACCCCCCCAGGGAGGATGGTCACGACGCAATCCCTTCTCCTCCATTCTCCTCTCAGGATCTTGGGCACGCACGCACATGCGCCCAGCGTGAGTTTTAAGCCACCGGGTCCGGGACGCAAACCGCGGTCAACTACGTGGGAGTCCAGCGACATAGCCATTACGTTAACTGCTGGTTCCCTAAAAAATATGTATTTATTTTAATTTGACCAGAGAGGGTTAGAGTGAAAGAGAGAGAGAGAGAAAGTGAGGAAACAAGTCACCAGGTCTAGGACTTGAACCACAGTTGGCCACATGGGAGTCAGCACTCTCAACCACCATGCCACCTGCCAGTCCCAGAATTGTATGATTTTTTTTTTTTTCCCCCAGAAACTCTCTGGGAATTCCAGAAACTATAAGGTTACTATCTCCTTAACCACTGTTTTTATACTTTTACATTTTCTAGTGCATACCATCCCCAATTTATAAAGACCTGACTGCATCTTTAGAAACTAGATCTTAACAGGCAACTAGAATAATTCAGACAGAAGAATACACAGAGTTACTTAAAATTCCTCAAAGCCAATAAAGAAAACTGTTTGTGGCACCAGAGTACAACTATCCACCAAGAAAGCTAAAGTAGAGCAAAGCACAGCTCTAGGAGATATAAACAGAACTTCAGTTAAATGGAAGGCTTGGTTAACCACAGTTAAGTAAACCTGAGTTGCAGTGTAATCTGATAAGAAGCCAACAGCATGGATTCTACATAAACCATGTGTCTCTAATACTAGGGTTTGTTGAAAGAGTTAATCGAATCATGGATAAGAAAAAAAAATGGATGTATGTAATTTAAAAGATTTTTTTTGGTTACAAGAAAATAAATTTTCTCGTAAGGCTATTAAAATGTAGTAACTATTGTAGATTAAAAATTAATCAACAGACAATAAACCAGGACCAATACTGAAAGTGTCCAGTCCGGCTAGTGTAAAAATTTACTAATGATCCAGAAAAAGTATATGTGGACAGAATAGATGAAGACCGTCAGTGATGTAAAACCTTCTGCTGTAAAGCCTGAAAGTCCTTGCTAAGACAATGAAATTCCCTTTTCACAAAGTAAAGAAAGAATACTTAAAGTATACAGGTAGGCTCAAATGATTAAAAAAAAAAAAAAAAAGTAGCAAGATCTGCCAGAGTAAGAAATAGGGCAGAATAAGAGAATATATGATAAAGATTGATAAAATAATGAATGGTGAAGAGAATGTCACCTGGTGCCTCTTGTTTACATTGTCCCTTATGGAGCTTTAAGATAACAGAAGAAAACAAATTTAAAATAAAGAGGAAACTATTTTATGCAGCATGTAATTAACCCATTGCACATGTAGCAGAACATTAATAAGGCACAAAGCTTAGCATGGCTCCCAAAGACCTCAGATAGCAGAGTATGGCTCTATAGTAGTATTACCAATGGTAAAAGTTAAAATGGAGCACATACCTCATGCTTCAGAGTATTAACGAGGTAAAGTAAGAAAGGAAGTTTCCTTCCCAATTGCCATATTCAAATGACTTAAGATTTCAACTTTCAAGCATTCCTAATTTCATCTTAGGGTCCAAATTAAATGATACTGTTATCCAAAAAAAATTTTACACCATTTTTTGGAAACACTCTAGCCTGTCTATTTTTCTAAATAGCAGACTTCCATTTTACCCTACTCTTTTTCTACTTTATTTATCTCAGCTTCAAAATATTACCTAAAGAGTAATCATTATAAACCATGTATTTAAAAAGTCTGTATCTGGGGCCCACAGGTCGTATAGTGGTTAAGGTGCTGGACTCACATGGCTTACCGTAGTTTGAGTCCCAGACCCAGCAGCTCGCTTTCCCACTTTCCCTTTCTCTTGCCAAACTAAAAATAATAATTACAAATAAAATCAAATAAATAATACTTTTTAAAAATGACAAGTCTGTGTCTAGAAAAGAATTCTAAAGTTTGTTTCACTTTCCAACCTTCTTTCTCAATATACACAAAAATTTAAATTCATATATTTGGCTCTGTTCACAGTCTGTTCGTGTCAAATAAAAATCCGAGTTTGGGCCAGCCTGTGGCCAGGTGGTTGGGGGTGGCTGGATCTCACATGGTTTGCTGCACAGTTCACATCCCAGACCTGGTTTGAGAGACATGCTGGGCACACATGTATGGATGCCCAAAATCCTGAGGCGGGGAGGAGATGGAGAAGAAGGGATTACTGCATGACCATACCCCATGGGGGCTGTTTTCTTTCTCCCCCACCTCTCTGTTTCTCTCTGGTAAGCACAAACTCAGTTTGGATGCTAAGATAGATCATAATGTATTTAAGAATGTTTTAACTTGTGTCTAAGAGCTACAGTAAGACAAATCCATTTATATAATAAATTGTAATCAATAAGCATCGTTTTATGGACTAATACAATAGAATCCCTATTAAGAAGGTACAGCCCTCTAGGCTCTGTCTTTACCATGGGGAATGAGCAATTGGTTTATAGAACGCTATGGCCCCAGTCAGTTCATAAATTTGACACATAAATAGTAGGCTATGAATGAGTTATAGGAAAAATTCACAGCCTCAAAGCCTAAGAAACTGTGTCTGGAAAACGCTGTCAGTACAAAACAAATGTTAAATTTAAATGTTTGAAAATGATAAAATTATGTGTGGACAAGACCAAAGTGATCAGGAGGTAGGTTTACACCTTGTGTCCATTTTGTACCCGTCCTCTCCATTTTGGGCTTACTAACAGGGTGCTACACGTGGTATAAGGCCAACCATGGCATTCAAGCTTGAGTGAATTTTTAGTGACAAAGAAATCAAATATGCTCCAAGAGCAGTCTAGAATTTCAGGGTGTTGCTGATGATTGAAGTCAATCTTCTTAGTGCTCACTTCAAATTTAAACAGAATGTAAGGTACAATCCTCAGGTCAATTAAATACAAGTCCAAACATTTCATTTCTCAAAAAATAGTGCCCAGAATATATCACTTGCATTGAAAGGTTTTACATGTATCTAAAAAGACTATGCAATACCAGTTATAAATAAGCAGATGATCTTCTAAAATACAGGATTTATATTTTTCTTCTCAAGTATAAAATAAGTATTTGCCTTATTATGTCAATTTGGCAATATCATTAAAAGATGGAATAGAAAACTAAGGAGCAGAAGCCCTTGTATGTTACTTGGTTTGGGAGACAAAAGAAGAAAGGCACATTTCAAGCAGATGGAAAGTAAACAATAAAGTTATACTTGCCTGCATTAATTTTCCTTCTGCTGGAGTTATTTCAGCAACACCAGCAAACACACCTTCCAAAGTGAGATTCAGTTTTCCTGTCGGGTCCATTTTCAAGGGGATCACTCTGATAATAGCTTTCTGCTCTACTGATCGTTCAGACTCCACCGCTGCTGCCAGTACCGGTCCTGTGTGTCCAAAGCCTGCCTGCAGGGTAGCCATTAGCAGCCAGGGCCAGAGGGCAGCCAGCTGCAGCTGGTGGCCACCACTCATGCTACCAGCTGCAGCAATGCACTTTGGCCATACATACTGCTTCCACTAGCCAATACCAAATGCAGGTTCTCAGATCCAAACAGATGGAGCAAACAATAATTTTTTACTTCAGTTTCAGAAGGCCAAGTCGTAGTTATAGCCCTTTCTCTAAAGTATACTCCCAAGAACAGGTGGCATTCCGGACTGGCAGCAAAGAGGGTGTTTTCAGCCCACTTCTGCTACAGGTATGTCATTTTCTCCCATCTTCACCCTGATTAGTAAAGATATCACCACTTTTCTTTGGAATTTCTAACTTTGCTTGAGATTGAATGTCACATTGTGAATTTTTCTTATGTCAGATATCTTGGTGTTGGTCTTCCATATGCATCAAGTTGCTCAGGAACTAAACCCAACGTTCATGAACAAACCAAGGCAAGGTAAACAGCGAAGGCCATGCATCAAGGTGAGAGTGAAGAATTCCAGCTCAGAAAACGAAGAGATGGCCCTTTTAAGCCACAAAATCTGTCAGTGGTAAATGACTAAAGACCATAAGGAGATTTTTTTTTTTTTAATGGGCAAAGAGAAAGAATAATAATAAAACAAAACTTCAGGCCACACTTTGAGGGATGTCCAAAGATGCTACAACAAGTGGTCAGAAGAGTTTCCACATTAAACTGCATTCCAGTGTCGCCAATGTTAGAGGCCCGTTGTACTTACGTATTTTTCACGAACATATTATAACTTTTTGTGTTCTACCAAAAGTTGCCTATAAATTAGGTGGTAACTTATATATCTTCACATATTACAGGATAATCCCAAGTATCACAGCCTTCTTCAGCTTTCACAATTAGAATATTTGAAAAGGTTAGCTTCTCAGTTAAGCTTCATATTCTATCTCCATTTTCTTTTCTCTCTTGCGATCTAGATTTTATTCTTCAGTTTGAGAATGCCAAGCACTTTGAATTCCCATGTGATGCTTTTGAAAACTACTTTAATATCCAGATCTTATCATCAGTAATTTGCCGGGTTCATAAGAAAAACAAAGGACTGTTCCTAACACATTTTCAAATTCCTTGAGGAGGTAGAAAATAAGATATGGGGAGCAGGAAGGTGATTAGTGACAGGCTCTGAGTAGAACACTGAAAAATGCACAAATAAGCCTGAGTAGCGTAGATCTGTGGTATTTCTAGGCACATATGAGAACTTGGGTCTTGGTACAAACACAGAATAAGACTTTCAAATGTGCACTCTTAAGTAAATATAAATGTACTTCACCCACAAAGCCCACTGCATTCCGAGGTCAGGTTTAAAAATCTTACAAAATCTTCAGAATAAGGGCTGAAAAGCCAAGGAACTGAACATGAGCCTGTTATATAGATTCTTTACTTTTGCTGAAGCAGAGGGAAGAAAAAAAGAATTTCAAAAGAAATCTGCAAACCTGTTGCGCTGTCGGGCCCCTGGAATCCACACGGGGTGAAACACATTCAATTATGCTTTTATAGATCCTGCTCAAAAAGGTTTCAACTGCTTACACAGCTCACTCTTCCACCTTCTTACTCTGTAACCAAACCAAATGCCCCCACTCTACAGGTAGGTGCCGAGAAATTCCGCAGCCTGAAAAAATAATCCATGCAGGTCAAAGGCAGAAACTTACTCCAGGATGAGAGCTACTGTCCCCAAGAACTCTAAAAACACTTATAGCAGATCCAAAATCATTTCTGAAATCTCCTTTCTAACAAAAGTTCTTTTTCTCTCCGAACAGCATATAAGATGACCAAATCTTGAAAGAGAAAAGAAGCAAAGTAGTAAATACATCAGCAACAGTTGACTACCAGAAACACAGAAAATCCCAGAGGGAGAAGACAATATCTCTCAATCATGGGTGGACTTGGAAAGTTCGGAAGGATTCAAGTGCTTCCCTTCCAGAAAGACAATTCTGGATCAGCTCCCTAGAGCAGGAAGCCTGTGGTTTGTAATTGGTGTTCTAGCTCTGACTCCCTCCCCTGGGACTGCAATCACGCTCTCTACCTGCTGACAAAGTGAGGGTGGAGCAGCTAAAGGCAACCTCCCTTACCCCTCCTCCTCCTGGTGCGCGCACACACTTAACCACACACGTTCTTTTGCTCTCTCCTCTCTTTCAGCTCCTCTACTCCCTCTATTGAGCCACAGCCAAACTGCACGCAGCTCAACCCTCAATACCTTTCTCAGGGTAAGCAAGCTACCACATGTAAATCAGGGCTACTCAAACATATCTGAGCAGATTCTGCACCCAACAGTGCACAAAGGATGGTATGAGGAAATAAACAGAAAAAAGTACAAGAAATGCAGAAGAATATAGACACGAGATCTTGCAAATACGTGTTCAAAGGCATTTCTGCTCTTTCCGGGTTCAAGCATCTATAAATGGCACAAAGCCTGAATAAAATAATCCCTGTAGTACTGATTTATTGCCACTCATGTCTGCTACCCCGGGAAAGATTCTGTCCATTTAACACATGGCCTTTCTTTAGCTCTTACTAATTTAAATTCAGTAGCTCTGTCTAAATTGTGTCTGCATAGAGCTTTCAGATCAGGTTGATGTCAAGGGTCTGGAATCCAACTGTTATTTTCTCCTCACATCTTTGGGAGCTGAAATCCTACGGTGGATCAGACCTATAGCCTCAGTGTAAGACTGCAAGTAAGTCTATGTCATAAATACATGCAAAGGGATCAAATAAGCTTCATGAGACGAGCATAGGGAAAAAGATAACTAATTTTCACAATATTTAGGAACTATAACCCTCACACTGACCTTACCATTACAAATAATGCAAAAAGGTTTCTAGCATGTGAATTTTCGAATTTACCAGATACTTGACTTTGAACAGATATTTCATTTTTGGAACTGCTACCATATGATCTTTCAAAATCATACAAATGAACAACAATGTGAATATATTTAACTCTACTGAACTGTCCACTTAAAAATGGTTATGACAGTAAATTTTGTGTGTTTTACCTCATGTTCATGTGAACCTCTCTTTGATTATCTATAAAATGTGGACAATAATAATTGCACTGTAGGTTTGACGTAAAGATTAAATAAGGCCCAACTATAGCAGCACACGCTTGTAGATGCTGTTAGTCAGCAGGCTGAGGCCACATGAGAGGCCTACGTTCAATCCCCAGCCCACCCGAGGAGCCAGAGGCAATGATGTGCATCAGTAGTCCCAGATCCTCAGGAGGCTGAGGAGGATCACAGCATAGCAAGACCATTTAAAAAAAATAAACAACATAATGTCTCTGAAAGCAAACAGTAGGAAAAGCCTCTTTATCTTGAACATTTTTTCCCTAACAAGGTTTATGAGAATAGCTTCAAAATTTTAGCCCTAAAACTAACCTAAAAGGGAGATAATTTTTTTCTTTCTAAATTTGCTATTGTGTGTGTGTGAACTCACTAGAAAGACAGAGAGGAAGAGAGAGAAAGTGAGAAAGTACCCCCCAGGGGATGGCAATAATTGCTTTTCTATTCTCCTCTCAGAATCTTGGACACACACACACATGCGTCTAGTGTGTTTTTTGAGCCGCCAGGTCTGGGACTTAAACTGTGCAGTTGGCCATGTGGGATCCAGCTGCCTTAACCACCATGCCACCAGCTGGCCTGAACAGAGATCATTCTAAAGAAAATTATTATATTTTGTTTCTAAATTTTGTCAGGGGGTACCTGCACTGCCCAGAAAGAATAAAAGTACCTCCCGACCCTGCGTTCCCTCCAGTGTGTGGTCATGGCACAAGCCCCTCTCCTCTAGCTCTCCTCCCTTTCTGGATTTCGGGCCCACATGCTCAGCATGTTTCTCAAGTTGCCAGATCTAAGACTCAGACAGCAGTCAACCATGTGGGATCCAACCACCTTAACCAACATGTCATGTGCTGACCAGTAAATTCTCCTCCCCCCGCCCCCAGAAAGAGATTTTTTGCTATAGGGCACATGTGCTTGCTGGAAAGACAAAGACTGAAAGTGAGGAATCACTCCCCAGGGATGACGGCCATGCTGCAATCCCTTCTCTTCCATTTTCCTCTTGAGATTTTTGGGCATACACACACACTGGGTCCAGAACTTGAACTGTGGACAACTATGTGGAAGTCCAGTGACCATTACTCCGTCCGCTGGTCCTGACAGTAAATTCTTTGTCATTTTTTTTCCTCTTTTGTTGGAATCTTATGCAAGAACAACCTTTTGTAGCTCCTGTCCTAAAGGATAACAGCTCCAATTCTGCTGGAGAGACTTTTTAAAAATGTTATAGTTTATGTTTTTATGTATGCTGTATATTTGTACAGCATACAGTATGCAAAAAAATTATTATATATCATTGCTATACGAACATTTTAATTATTATTCGTTATATTCATTTAAATATAATTATGATTTATAATTATATTTAATTATTTAAAGTATTTATTATTATTATTATTTGATCAGAGGGAGATAAAAAGACACAGAGAGAGGAAGTGAGAAAGCAAGCCACCAGGTTCAGGACTTGAACTGTGGTGACCATGTGGGAGTCCAGAGCCTTAATCTCCATACCACCTGCCAGTCCCACAAAAATACCTTTATTATTATTTTTTAAGAGGTTTTTGCTATAGGGCACGTGCACTAGCCAGAAAGACAGAGAGACAGAGAGACAGAAAGTGAGAAATTATCCCCCAGGGGGGATGGCCATGCCACAACCCCTTCTCTTCCATTCTCCTCTTGGGATCTTAGGCATGCACGCACACGTGCTGGCGTGAGTTTAAGCCACCGGGTCTGGGACTTGAACCACAGTTGTCTACATGGGAGTCCAGCAACATAGCCATTATGCTAACTGCTGGTCCCCCCCCCACAAAAATATCTTTACTCTAAACAAAAAATAGCCTACAAGCAAATTTTGCCCTATCTACTCCTGCTTGAACCTTGCAGAGGAATTAAGAGACTTAAATCTAATAGTTAAAATACACATTTGGGGGAACCAGCAGTTAGCGTTATGGCTGTGTCACTGGACTCCCACATAGTCGACCACTGTTCACATCCCGGACCCAGTGGCTTAGAACTCGCGCTGGGCACGTGTATGTGTGTGCCCAAGATTCCCAGAGGAGAATGGAGGAGAAGGGATTGTGGCGTTGACCATCCCCCCTGTGGGGTGATTTCTCACTTTCCGTCTCTATGTCTCTGTCTGGCGACCGCAAGTGCCCTACAAACAGAAAAAAAAAATACACATTTGGATGAAACAAGGTAGAATGTTACATGTGTAGTTGCCTTCTAAAGGAAACTCTGAGATATGGGAATGAAGACAATATATGGACTATGAATCTGGGGAATCCTAAGATACTCAGGATCCTAAGATACCAAACAGCTCTATGTAATTCAGTTGATGAAAATATTGTTTATTTAGGTCACCAGAATTGACAAGCAAGAGAAATTATTCTCGGCTTCAAAGTTTTGGCATTCTCCCTCAAGGGTTGACCTATGACAACACTTTCCCAGAGATGTCATGAAGATACCATCATATGGTAATCATCCCAGGGATATCTTCTACCTAATCACACATATGAGACAGATTATCCTTTAGGATCTATTTTCATGTCTGGATTGACTGAACTTAACTTTTTTATTTGGAGAGGTTTTTCGCTATAGGGCGCGTGCATTCGCCAGACAGACAGACAGAGACATAGAGACAGAAAGCGAGAAATCACCCCCAGGGGGGATGGTCACGCCACAATCCTTTCTCCTCCATTCTCCTCTCGGGATCTTGGGCACGCACGCACACGCACCTGGCATGAGTTTTAAGCCACTGGGTTCGGGATGCGAACTGTGGTCGACTACGTGGGAGTCCAGTGACATAGCCATTACGCTAACTGCTGGTTCCCAGGATTGGGTGAATTTACTGAAGACCATGTATCCTTTTATTATAAACCAGGTTTCTGTAAAAGCCATCTAAGAATTGCTCTTATCTTTAATGTTATCTTAAAAATTCAATCCCTATTCAACTGCAAATGAAAAATAATAGGACAACTGTAAAAAAGAGTGATTTTATTATTATTCTTTTTAATTTGACCAGCGAGAAAGAGAAAGTAAGAAAGTAAGCCACCAGGTCCAGGACTCAAACCTCAGCCATGTGAGAGTCGGCACCTTAACCACCAAACCACCTGATGGCCCCAGAACAATTGTTTTTTGTTTTTTTTCCACATTATTTATTATTTGTTTTTTGTATATACTTTCAATCATATTGTTTGACTTACAATGAGACCATTTCGATATGTGCACATTTCTCCCCAGACCCATTGATCAAAATATCTTTAACAGATAACACCACATCTCCCGATCCCATCAATGCTCTACCTCTGTATCCCTTCTCCAAATGTCCTTCGTTAGGCCCACTCCTCCACATACACCTCGTCTGACATTCACATCCATCTCTTGTGTTTGTTCAACCGTTAGTCAATCAGTTTCAGTCACAGAATGCAGACATACGGTATATGTTAAGTGGGGACATACTATGTCTCTCCTTCATAGCCTGGCTTGCCTCACTCAACAGTACATCTTCCATATTCTTCCACTTTCTGTCAAAAGCCAGGCTTCTGTTGGTTTTTATGGCTGAGTAATATTCCACAGAGTATATGTGCCACAGTTTTTCAATCCATTCCTCCATACGGGGGCATTTGGGTTGGTTCCAAGACTTAGCAATTGTGAATAGTGCCGCAATAAACATCGATGTGCAAGCACTTTTCCAATGAAGAATTCTTCTTTCCTTTGGGTAGATACCGAGGAGTGGGATCCCTGGATCATATGGCAGATCTATTGTTTTTAAAAATACCAGATTCTTTGGGGGCTGGCAGGTGGTGTGGTGGTTAAGGGCGCTGGGCTCCCACATGGCTGACAGTGGCTCCAGTTCTGGACCTAGCAACTTGTTTTCTCACTTTCCTGCTCTCTCTCTCATTCTGTCCCTCTCTGGTCAAATTAAAATGAAGAAATAAAGTTTAATTTAAAAAAGTCTATGGGGCCAGCAGTTAGCATAATGGCTGTCACTGGACTCCCACGTAGTCAACCGCGGTTCGAGTCCCGGACTCAGTGGCTTAAACTCACGCCGGGCGCATGTGCGTGCGTGCCCAAGATCCCAAGAGGAGAATGGAGGAGAAGGGATTGTGGCATGGCCATGCCCCCTGGGGGGTGGTTTCTCACTTTCTGTCTCTATGTCTCTCTCTCTGTCTGTCTGGCGAGTACATGCGCCCTGTAGCAAAAACCTCTCAAAAAAATTTATTTTTAAAAAGTCTAAAAAATAGGTCGAAGCTGCTGCCATCCCCGGAGCCATTGGGACCCTCTGCCCCGCCAACACCACCCAGCTCATGTGCCATGCCATTGGAGACCTTCAAGCAGTGTTGCACCTTCGAACAAAGAATAGATGTCCGCCTTATCTGAGAGCAGCATCCCACCAAAATACCAATAACAGAACAGTACAAGGTGAGAAGCAGCTTCCTGTCTTGGATAAAACCAAGTTCCTGGTACCTGATCATGTCAACATGAGTGAACTCATCAAGATAATTAGAAGGCACATACAACTCAATGTTAATCAATCCTTCTTCCTACTGGTGACTGGACACAGCGTGGTGAGCGTGTCCACGCCCATATCTGAAGTATATGAAAGTGAAAAGGATGAAGATGGATTCTTGTATATGGTCGATGCCTCCCAGGAGATGTTTGGAATGAAACCGTCAGTCTAAGACTAGAAAAATGCAGCTGTTCTAAAATTTTAAAACCCTTACCAAGGAATAAAAGGGATATTACCAACTGAGATTGATCAAGTTCATCTAGTCACAGACCATCAAAACAGTAGTGTTCCCACCTAGGAGTTCTAGGAAGTTGGTTCTGGGACCAGCAGTTAGCCATAATGGGTTATGTGGCTGGACTCCCATGTAGTTGACCGTGGGTTGAGTCCCAGACCTGGTGGCTTAAACTCATGTCAGGGGCATGGGCATGTGTGCTCAAGATCCTGAGAGGAGAGTGGAGGAGAGAAGGGATTGTGGCGTGGCCATCCCCCCGGGGGGTGATTTCCCACTTTCTGTCTCTCTGTTTCTGTCTTTCTGGCGAGCGCACGCGCCCTATAGCAAAAACCTCTCCAAAAAAAAAAAAAAGGAAGTTGTTTTTGTATTTCAATCAGAAAAACTGAGTTCCAAATGAGCAAATTCAGCTTTGGAAAACTCTATTATATAACCTAGACCACCTTGTTTTAAAACTTTAGAGGTTTAAAAATAAAATACTTTGCATTCTAAGTTGCCAATAAAAAGTCTAATATATCTATCTATCTATCTATCTATATACACACACACATATATATATAAGATTCTTTGAAAAAGTAAATTCTCTTTTGAACTTTACCATTAACAGTCATAAAGATTGAGTTTTCTATTGATCATCAATCAAACAGTAAAAACAATTAAGACAAGTCTCATTGAAACAGTCACTTTATTGTTGGCTGATTGAATTTGTCAGTGCACAAGGTACTGAAATTCTGGATGCTAGTCAGGAACCTTGTTAGAATGGATCAGACCCTGGCGGCTAATTCACATGAAGATTTTATTTTACCTTTTGCCATTTTACCTGAGTCACTGATGATAACTTTAGGTGATAGGTACCAGGCATGTGAGCATAACAGGAGATCCAGCTCCTTGGTCTGTTGTATGCATATACAAAAAAGTTTGGAAAGTTGATTAAGGCATTTCATTAATTAAGCCTTAAAACCACTGAAACCAAATCTATGCCAAGGTTCCTGCTTGACACATGTTCCTC